CTCTCCACAGATCTGACCTGTAACTTGGTCTGGTTTGGTCTCCATGAAGATAGAAAGGTTTAATACCATACTGTGAAACATCCCAGACAAAGCAATAACATCTCCAAAAATTACACAATGCACCTTTAAGAACCAAATACATTTTAACAACAGTATTTCTTTGTTACACCACTGCTGTAAAGTCTCTAAAATCAATTTTAATTATTAAAACAATAAATATATTAAGTGTTTTACATAAACAAGTTTCTTTGCACTAAATAAGCATCAAAATTATAAAGCTGTCTCAAAAAAAATTACAAAAAGATCTTGGCAATATATTGATACAGCAGCCCACAATACCAATATGGTATCACCAAATTTAGTATCTCGATATATCAATATATTTAAATATTTTTTCACATCTCTAAGCACTACACGGTCTGTCCTCTTGTACAAAAGCAGTCTGTCTCAACAGGGTGTTGTAATGGGGGGAGATGAACCACTGGAGCGATCCAGGACTCTCCATCTGTTCCTCACAAACATCTGTGGGTGTTAGGTGACATGGAGCCCCCCTGTAGTGTGATCTGTCAAAATGTATTACAGTTACAGTTAAATTAATTTTCAAAGTCGAGCAGCTGGATGGAAGCTATTGTGTATATATAGAGCAAGATTAAAATGTCAGAGATTGTCTCTATTTTAGAGAATTTCTTTAGTCAGTCACCAATCTGCAACCAATATAGTTTAGGTCACTGTTGCGGAAAATTATACAGATCTTGATGATAATAATCCATTGGCGTAGCCTGGTGAGTTATAAAACACAACAAGGTTTATGTTTTGTTATAACAGACAGACCGGCCTGGTTCTGGCATCCCAATCCAGTCTCTCTGTCCCTTCCAGAGCATCTGAGCCCTACATTTTTTACAAGAATTTCAAAGCTACAAACAAATCAAAGCAGACATGGAGACAGTGTCTGTTGAGTCCAACATGAGTCATACACATGTTAATGTCTGGGTCTCATATATAATAACAATATTTTCTTTATGACTTGAATGCACAAACATTTCCATCACAGCTACATTAAATAAATATGTGAAGAATGCAGCATTCATAATCTCATATTGCCATGTATTTACTGAAAATAATGCATCAGAAAAATTAGTATCTTCTCTTTTCTTGTGGACCTAATGCCTTGTTTTATCATCTCCTGGTATTTATGTCTCATCCTACCCAGAAATGTCAGATGGGATGTTATCAGATTAACCAGGAATAAACACAGAATTAACACAATTTGAGACTTTTCTAATATAATGTAAAGGACAGAATCGTGGATGATGTATTTATGGGCCCTTATTACTTTGTTTTTATGTTATAATGTTTCCTCATCACAAACATGAGTTATTTTCTGTTTCATTCACATTTTTTAACACATAAACTTCCATGTCCATAAAATTCCACCTTGTGATATCATGTGGTAATACAAGAGGTGCTCCACTGTGTTTTTAAACTACATACACCATCATTTGGATGATTTCAACCCAGGAAGTGTTCATCTCTAATGAACAAAAGGTAAAAAGTAGCTGTTATCTTGAAAACTATCACTGACAGTTCAAGGATTACTTAAATATGTGTGAATGAAATAAAACACAACTCCAGGTGTGTTTTTGATGAGGTAACAAAATTATAACATGACTTAAAGCTCACAAGAGTCAATTTTGCATAATTTAGGACCTTTAGAAATAAACCTTTTCTCTGATTACTGTGTTTCGTTTGTTGCAGCCTCCGGAAATGCTGAAGCGGATGGTCCCTTTCAACACCTCATTTAAATCAAACCACAAAAGACAAGTAATCTATGACCATCAGCATGATTGCACCGTGCCTGAGCTGCTGAGTGGATCTCTGTTCTCCGTGAAGTGTGGACCTGCTCACATCTGTTCTGCTCCACTGGTTTCTCAGAGACTCCTCCTCCTTCATTTTCCCCTGTTGCCTTTGTTGGCTCCTTCTGCACATTTTGTTCTGAGCTTTTGAATTCTACATTGTTCTTTTACATATTTGAAAATGAGATTAATGTATTTTTCACAGCAAACTATTCGTATGACACAACACAATTAACAGTTTAGAAGGCATTAATTAGCACTGGTTATTTGCTTAGAAACATTTATGAGGTATTTATGGAAGGGCCCATATTACACCGTTTTCTGATTTATGTTTATGTAATGTTGTTTCCTCATCACAAACAGACCTAGCCAGGCTGGCGCCACCTACTGCCTCAATTTCATTTCTCTCCAGCAACTAGGTCAGGAATCAAAATACATTTGACTGTTCACAAAAACCGTGGAAGTGCAAGTTCGGGCACCAGCAAATCAACGAAGAGCCATACATTCAGTGTTGTCAACTATTCCTGAGATCGAGGATTTAAAGCCAGAACAAAGAGAATGTTTGGTGAATTTTATCAAGGGGAAAGACGTTATTGCCCTTCTTCCTACGGGATTTGTTAAAAGGTTAATATAGCAGTTAACCCCGTTAGCGGCGCATTACATATGTCACGACCAAATAGCAGCGATTGGTTAAATAAAAAAAGTACCTGCCTACTGATGAGTGAACGAAATGGTTTCTACGAAGTGAAACCGGCTGATGAATCAGGCTAAAACAGACTTGGAGTTGTGTTTTATTTCACTCACACATATTTAACACACAAATCTTGCATATTTAGACTGAGTTCTTCTCTCAAACAGAAAATGCTCTGTTCCACCTTGTGATGTCATGTGGTAATCATAGACTGTATATTTGCTAGCTGCCGCCTTGCAAATAGGAAGTGCATCAGGAGGCACTTCCGGTTCCTTCTGACTCTGGCTCCAATGGACTTACATTGGGATGTTCTCGCCCGTCTCTCTGTACCTGCTGCTGTGAGCCTCGTCATTTTGGTCTTAAAATGTTCGTATTAACCAGCTTGATCATGAACCTGAGCTTTTCACATCACTATTTTGTCCCTAAATCAAGATATGAACATAAATAATAATAATAATATGCCTTCATTCCCCAAGGTCGCGCCCACTAACGTAATTAAGCAACAGGTTTGATTGACAGCTAGTGCATTTTGTTGCTAAGTAAACCCCCTTTAACAACCTCATTCTTGTGGTTGCTATGATACTCGCGGTCGGATTTCCAAATATAGAGCCTGGTGCGAAATTTGCTAATTGGACTGGAGCTGAACGCTGTGGGTGACGTCACACTCACTTATTCAAATTTTTTACACAATCGATGGTGTTAATACAGGAAGTGCTCCAGCTCCGTTGTGTATTTAAAGTCCATACACCTTCACTAGAACCATCTGGACGATTTCCGCTCTGGAATTGCCAATCGGTAGCTGCTACGTCATGACGTCACAAAGTGGAACAGAGCAAATTGAGCTGTGGAGATGTAGACAGACTAATAATAAGGTTACTCAAATGTGTGAATGAAACAAAACACAACTCCAGGTCTGTTTGTTATGAGGAAATGACTTTATAACATAGATCAGAAAATGGCGTATTATGGGTCCTTTAATGATACCTTATATGTACTTATAATCAAATAATTCAATGCTTATTAATGCCTTAAAATAGTTTACTAATTAATGTTGTTTTTTGGTAAAACATTACTTCACTGAGAGATACAATTAGCTGTGGATTTGAGGTGATTATCTGTGGATGAAAACGTGTTATGGTTTAAAGGTGCACTGTGTAACTTTTTTGGGGGGGTCTGTCACCTGCTTGTTTCTATGGATATGTCATTGCTCTTCCTGGAATGTTCCACAGTGTGACATTAAGCAGCTCTACCTTATAATTATTCAGTCACAGTTGGTTTTACAGCTCAAAAATACAGAGAAAAACAGATATATTGACTGTGAATCCAACTTTATTTGTATAGCACATTTTTATAAACAAAACAGTTTCCAAAGTGCTTCACATAGCAATGTAACCATTTTACTTAAAAATTTTTTTTTTAATAAAATCTGCAGAATTATGTTTCAACCTTAAGGAAACTAATAGAATAAATAAATAAAATAATAATAATAAAATCCATTAACAAAATGAATAAAATCAATACATTGAAAGCAGTACTAAAAAATTAAATTGATAAAAACAATAAATAAATAAATAAAATAAAAGACACAGAGGACCACACAACTCACGTGGTATTAAAAGCCAGAGAATAAAAGTGGGTCTTAAGACTTGACTTAAAACACTACCGTGGGGGCTGTTCGTACGTGAGAGGGCAAAGCATTCCAGAGTTTGGGGCCGGCCAGAGAGAAGTCCTCATCCTCCTGGTTTTAAGTCCCGTTTTTGGGGACCACGAGCTGGAGCTGGCTCTCAGACCTCAGAGAACATATGGAAGTGTAAATTTGGATGAGGTCTAAGACGTATTGTGGGGCCAGTCCATTCAAAGCTTTAAAAACAAATAATATGACCTTTCTCTAAAGATAAAAATGTTTAATTCCATACTGTGAAACATTCCAGACAAAGCAATAACATCTCCATGTAGAAAAGAATTTGACGGACCCTCCAGTAGAAAAGTTACACAGTGCACTTTTAAATTAGTCTCATTTAACCAGTGTAACTTTGAAATCATCTCAACACCACAGTTTAGTCACAAATAAAACTGACAAAAAGTATTACTTTTCCTCTTACAACAAGCGTTAATTTTCAGATGTGTTTTTCACTCAGTCTGTTGTCATCATGAGTCATTTGAGCAGGATTATCTGAGGTCAGCTCTTCCAAAAACAGTTTTAATAGAGATGTGTGCATTGGTTTCTGGGAATTATTCTTGCCATTATGTTTAATTGAGGCGCCGGACTGTAAAATGCCCTCTGCTTTTTGGAGTTAATGACTCAAGGTCTGTCTCCATGGTTTCACGATTGGAAATTTGGTTGTCAACAGAAGCGAGCAGTTGCACTATGAGTCCAACAGATGTTTAAACACAGCTGTCCACTTAACGCTGTGTTGTCTTATTGATCCGTTGATGAACTGTCTATTGTCTCACAGGTCTTTGAGAAGCACGGCGAGGACTTTGATCCCTACGCAATGGTATTGTTCCTAGAAATCTTTTAAATTTTTAAGCAGAGAATGAATAGCTGTGGTGAAGTTTTTGATGTACTTGGTTTAAATTTTTTGATAAAACTTCATAATAACTACTATTTTAATACTCTTAAAGCAGATCTGTAATGCAAAATCAACTTTTTGTAGCTTTTATAGTTGTTTCTTCTCACCATTTACTCACTCGAAGTTGTATTTAGAGTGATTTGTGCATTTTTTAATAATCTTTAATCGCTTATTTTGAAGACGCCACTTTGCAGATTGACTCCTTTTTTCACTGCCACCTGCATATACTCACTGCTTGTACTAACTTCATACTCCAGTTTAGTTTTTTAAAGCAGTGACACGCATAGGATTCAGCAGCGTTGCATAGTTATTTTGGTATAAATGAAAAAAATCCTCTACTCCCTAGTGTGATCTGCAGCTAAACATCTTTTTGTTATCATGATTTTTACAGCAATGTCTGCTTCCTTTGAGCACCACAGTTTTCTAACGCAGAATTCAATTGACTTTTTAAAATTTTATTAATTCATTTGAGATTAATATTGCGAGGACCAAATTATAACATAATGATCCACGGGTGTCATAGATTAAATCACACAAGCACAATTGATCTTCTTTAATAACGCATAAACAAAGACTCAAAATTAACATATAGTTTATTAAGAATGATTCAGGCCTAGTAACTAACTTTATTAATACCATAACATCCACCAATTCCACTTTATAAAGAAGTTTAAATGTTTAACTCTGCACAGATACATGAAATATGATACTCAATTTGTGCTGTAGTACTTTGTTATACTGTTTCTGATTTGTTTGTTTCTGAATATGTACTGGTGTTAAGATGACTCTCTGATAAAGGAATAAAGGGTAAAGGCATAATAAGCTCAAGCTTCAGCCTACACCTTTTCGGTCAGTATATGTTAAATATGACTGAAGTAATGTCAGACTGTACCTGTGACCGAATCAATCAATCAATCAATCAACATCTTAAGTAGTTACTAAATCTGGATCATTCTTAATCAGCTATTTTTACATTATTAATTAAGTCTATGTGCTTTTTTTATTAAGGCGATTTAAGGTATAGTTATTAAAAAGTGGGAACCTATTTTTGCTGTTTATATTTTGTGCTTTGCTGCGATTTTAAATGTTGCTTTTATTTAAAGTTCTCAGCCGACCAGATCGCCGGACGAGACGTGAGGCTACTGAGAATTAAAAAGGTACTGTCTGTAGCTGATCTGACAAATGACGATGAGCAAACAACAATATTCAGAGTGTAATGTCCAATGAAAACCTCATTATGTGTCTTATAATATTTTTAATTATATGTTTTTAAGGCTGGACAGCTTGATATTGCTTTAGAAGGAGGTGCAGACTCTCCTCTTGGAAAGCTGGTGGTATCAGCCGTGTATGAAGGAGGAGCAGCCGATAAAAATGGTCAGTTATCTAAAAAAAAAACACTACACTATTTTCTGATCTATGTTAGAATGTTGTTTCCTCATCACAAGCAGACCTGGAGTTGTGTTTTGTTTCATTCACACATGTTTAACACACAAACCCTGCACCTTGTGATGTCATGTGGTAACCAGAAGCGCTCCACTGTGTATTTAAACTCCATACATCTTCACTAGAATCATTTGGATAATTTTAGCCGTCTAATTGTCAATTTCTAGGCAAGGCAAGTTTATTTGTATAGGACAATTTGTACACAAAGTAATTCAAAGTGTTTTACAGATTAAGAAATGCATTAAAATCACAATAAAAAACAAATCAAAACATAAATAATCATAAAATTAAAAAGAGCGAGAGACATTAACTTAGAGAGAATAGTGCAGAATGAAAAATGAAAAAACCTTTGAGTAATACGCAGCTGAACAGAACTGTTTTGAGCCTGGATTTAAACAGCGTTAAAGTAGAGGCCTGTCTCACCTCTATCTTCAGGAAGACTGTTCCAGGTTTTAGCTGCATGAATCTGAAACGCTGACCATAGCTGCAGCGTTCTGGATGTTCTGAAGCGTGTCACAGTTCATTTGGAGAGGCCAGTGAGCAGACCATTACAGTAGTCTAACCTACTGAAGACAAACGCATGGATAAGTCTCTCCAAGTCTGCTTTAGACAGTACACCTTTGATTTTTACTGTTTTTTTTAGACAGTAAAATGCTCCAGATGTTATTGATTTGATGTGGCTGTTAAAGTTCAAGTCTGAGTCCATTATTACCCCTAGATTTCTTGCCTGATTTGAAGGTTTTACAGAGACAGAGATTGAGGTGACTGCTGACACGGTCTCTTTGTTTCTGTGGGCCAAACACTATGACTTCAGTCTTGTCAGAGTTTAGCTGGAGAAAGTTGTTTTGCATCCACACACTGATCTGTTGGATGCAGTGGCTGAGTGAGTCCACTAAATAAAATACTAAATACATGGTAAAAAGTAGCTGTCATAACTTGGAACAGAATTTTGAGCTTTGGAGATGTAGACAGACTAATAATAAAGGATTACTCAAACGTGTGAATGAAATATAAACACAACTCTAAGTGTGTTTTTGATGAGGTAACAACATTATCTCAACCTGGTTTAAAGTAGAGGTCTGCGCGGGACAGAATTTTCAGTCCCACTCCGACCCGCAGTCGCAAAGAATTGTAATTTTCATTCCTGCTCCTGCCCATATCTGCGATATTCTGTCCTGCTCCTGTCCACAAATCCCACAAGATGAGGACGTTTGCTTTCATAAGCTCTATCAAACACGGAGAAGTGGAAAGGAAATGTCTAAAATAGGTGCAAGATTAGACCACGTCTGCAAGTTTAGGCTGCTTAAAATGTTTTTATTAATGCCAAATAAAATATCCAGCACAAATGATGTATAATAGGCATACATTAATCATTTGTATATTTTACTTTACAGTCATATTTAGTTTGCGGGACTGCAGTTTATCATCCAACCCACCCGCATCTGCAATGAGCTTTCAAAATGTGTCCCGCGTCGCACTGTTTTACGTCAGGTCCCACGGGTGAAGGGCTCTAGTTTAAAGCTCACAAGAGTCAATTTTATGTAATCTATGACCTTTAAAAATGCTTTGACAAATTTACCACAAACTATTAAAATAAAAATAATAACATAATGTACTTGTTAAATGTGTAAGATGATACATAACATAATAATGACATAATGATGTGCTCAAATCAACAGATCTGATTATACGAGTCGCTTTGTGGTGACAGTGTTAATCTCATGTTGTGACTGATAGCGTTTTCCTATTGAAACATGTGGATCAATCTCCTGATGACGCTGCCTTTGCTGTGTTTAACCCCTCTGTTGTGTCTGTAGGTGGTATTGTCCCCGGTGATGAACTCATGGCTGTGAATGGGAAGATACTGATCGATGCTTCATTGACTGAGGGTCAGAACTCGCTGGCTCGTGCCTGGAACAGTGGAGGGGTGAGGACAGAGTTACAATAGCGACATTTATGTGCAGTGGATGTTAAATTTTCTTTTTATAATGTTAGAAACGTCCTTGAAAAGAGTCAGCACTGTCAACACTGATTTTTATTTTCATGTGGTAACTTGTAATGTAGTTTTAGTTAAATCTGGTATAAAGCATCTCTGCTTTTATGAGATGAATGTTTTCTTGCAAGAAACAAACAACAAAAAGTAGTGCTTAAAGGGCTTATATTATGCTATTTTCTGATCTATGTTATAATGTTGTTTCCTCATCTGAAATTAAACACAACTCCAGGTTTGTTTTTGAGGAGGTAACAACATTATAACATGGCTAAAAAAAATCATCGTTCATTTGTTTTTCAAAATAAAACCATAAACAAAACAAAAAAATGAAAAAACAACAATTTTCTTCTTTATTTGTCTCCAAAAACAAAATGAAAAAATGGATAACGATTTGTTTTTTCAGTTTTTGATTTTGGGTTTAAATGAATAATGGACAAAACGGATAATGGCCATTTCCCGTTTCTGTGACTTAAACTGCGATGCGGCACTTTTGCACCGCATACAGACTGAACCAGGAATAAACCAGGACTGAACCAGGACTAAACCAGGACTAAACCATGTAGGACAAAACCAGGTCTAAACCAGGACTAAACCAGGTCGAAACCAGGACTAAACCAGAACTGAACCAGGACTGAGTGATAGGATGGTCCAGAAGGTGTGCCAGCATAGACCATTGGGTGACTGCAGGCGAAAGGACCGGTGCAGATGCTCAGCTGCATCAATGCAGCCGTTGCCCGATCACGCTCCGACTGCTCCATGGGCTCAGGGTCCCGTCTCTCTCTCAAGTCAGACATTAGTCCTGGTTTAGTCCTGGTTTCGACCTGGTTTCAACCTGGTTTAGTCCTGGTTTAGTCCTTGTTCAGTCCTGGTTCAGTCTGTATGCAGCGCAAAAGTACGGCATCTAAATTGAAAACTGAAAGAACAAACCGTTATCTGTTTTTTTTCATTTTGGTTTTGGAGGCAGATAATGAAGAAAATTGTTGTTTTTTTGTTTTCTTATTTTTGTTTTTATTTTGAAAAACTAATGAACGAAGAATACAAAGATTCTAAAAGCTCACAGTAGTCAATTTTGCATAATATAAGATGTTTAAAAACAACAATGAAAATGCATGCTTTCATATTTATACTAGTATATGAATATTGCGACTGTTATTGTAGGATTGGATTGATGTTGTGATCGCTGTATCTCCACCAAAAGACTATGAAGATGAAATGTAAGTACTTTGTTCCTCATTATTCAGAAAATAGATTTGAATTTGTGCCATAGACTGTATATTTAAATGGACAAACCCGTTAGCCGTCGCATTCCAAATAGAAATTGCACTTGGGCGCGCTTCTGGCTCCAACGACTTTGTTTCCAATGTACTTTTCATTGAAAATTGTCGCCCCTCTCTGTAACCGCTGCAGTGAGCCTCGTCAGTTTGGTCTTAAAATGTTCGTATTAACTCGCTCTACATGATCCTGGTGTTTTTATTTTGCTTTTGTCCGTAAATAAATTCCTATTCCTAAAATGAAAGTGGCTCCAAATTTGCTTCTGTAACCATGAGCATCGTGAGCTTCGTTTGACTGGAGCTGAACGCTGTGAGTGACGTCACATTCCCTTAGTCCTCTTCTTTATACAGTCTATGATTTGTGCTGATTTACCCAAATTGACCGAGCCCCAGTGGTTGGCAGGCCCTAAATGTAGAGAATGACTTGTGTCTGTATGCGTGTGTCCAGCCCTAAGTCAGCCTCAGTCAGTCCCCCTGTGAACACTAAGGTGCAAGGCAGTGCGTCTCTGTACAGGCACGGCTACCAGCTTCAGAACTAACCCTGCTCTCGTCCTGGTAATAGATCTGTCCTCACCGTCTCACAGAAGATGTTTGCTGTGGTGGTTTTGCCCTTGGTGCCATTTCTGAACACATGTGACAGTCTCCCTGTCAATCAGAAGCAGGACTATTCTATTTTAAACCTTTCACCAACCATTGGATTTATGACTGAAAGCAGCAACACTGAGTTATTATTACCTCCTGAATGTACTCAAGGCTATTTTTATTTATGTTTCACCGTGTGCCTTTCCACGAAACATGATACATGATACAAACCTGACGAGTGCGGGCCACCAGAGACATTTACAGTGTTACGTTCAGTAATGTCACGTGCAATAATGTTACATAATAACTATAATTATAAAGTCTTGCACTTACAGGCTTATCAAAGCCCCTCAAACTGCTACACTAGTCATTCCTCAGAAACTTCACACTTGGTAATGGTAAATTCCTATTGTAGTCACAGGTGCCCTGGGGCAGACTGGCAGAAGTGAGGCTGCTAATCTGCACCATCTGCCCCTCCGACATCACCAACACTCACAGACACACCACTTTCAGACTAAGCGGGTAAAGTGTCTTACCCAAGGACACAATGACAGAACTTGGTCCAAGCGTGATCCTCCAACCTTTGGGCTGAGAGAACACTGCTCTAACCACTCAGCCATGTACTAAAATGTTACATATAATAATGATGCGTACTATAGTGTCACGTACGTACAGCTGCGTCATGTCAACACTCATAAGCCCAGGGCGCTGTCACGAGCCCAGGGCTTTGGCAGCTTTGGGCATTTGTTCTGATTGATGTTGTTCAATGGGACTGTTACATGTTCATTGCCTTTTTAATGCAGTGACACTGAGTGATGCTGTAGCCAGGATTTCTATGAGTTTTGAACCAAAATGATCAGAGGTGATCTGTAAACACATTGGGCTGTTTAAACTCAGGTTTAAAGAGAAATCTTGAGCTACAGTTAAAGTGTGATTGCTTTGTTTTCATTTTTCTTGCAGGATGAGACTGGACCTGTGTTATTAAATTCTGTTGCATGTTTTTAGTCCATTTAACAAGGCTGAGAAAAATCATACCATCTTTTGCTTTGTTTTCCTACAGAACTTTCTTCTAGAGTTTTCAACAACCAAGGATGCCAAGAATGCACATAAACCTGTATCAAGGATATTACATAAATAATAATGAAGCTCTGTATTTGTTTTATGAATGAAACCACATCAGTCCAGTGGGAACAACAATGATTTTGTCTTGGATGTATTTTCTATTTTATTCATTCTCAATAAATTACTACATTTAAAGTAAATACTTGTTCTGAACTAATGTGTGTTTATAATTTATAAAATATGTTATACAAATAATTTTATTTCATATTTAAGTAAAAAGAAACTTTTACCATCAGTGCAGGTTAGGTTAGGTTGCTTTATTTAAACCTGTAGGTAAATTTGTTTTGCAGTTTGAGAAGCTGGTCCCATGTTTCACATTGCATTCATTCACCTGGGCTTTATCCAGCTCCCGGGTCACATACTGTCCTTTGGTTGACTCTGACTGGCCTGTTTAAGCTCATTTGGAATTACAAAAGAAACATATTTGATCATTTTACCTCATGGATGAACTAAAACTGCATTGTTTTTATTTTAGAAGTGTTTTTTAATGACATTTTTTGTAAGGCAACCTCACTTTTTCATTGCTAAGTCATAAGATAAAGTCTTACCAGTCTGACCAGCTTGTCAAAATAATGATATTTACTGCTTTTTTATAAGGAAATACAATTAATATTATGGAGAATTGAGTTGAGCATTTTGGCTTGGCCCTCCACAACATTTTCTGTTTCTCATATAGCCCCATGGAAAAAATAATTGCCCATTCCTGATTCAGCCAACAGACACACACTGTAACAAATTGCTGTAGTTTCTAGAATCATTTTTTTACACCTGCTTCTTGCTTTCAAATATTACATGCCATAAATGTAAATTGCAATGCACTGTGGGACAAGAAATCATTACAGCTAGTAAGAACTTTTTCTACAACAGCCTGTTTTAAATTACAATTAGTTTGTGCTTTAGTGTAGATGTGAGGATATTACGTGTAAATGTTGTATTTTCAAATGTTTCTACTCTGCACACATTCAGTTGAGAAGAGCAGAGACAAAGAGGAGCTCACGGGAAAACTGCACTGGTCCATTCACTCCACAAACGAGTAAGTAACCTGTTTCTTTTATAAATCAGACTTATTATTTTTGCCCCATTGTAATAAAATTTGTAGGGTATCATATTTTTGTTTCTGTGTTCTGACTTTAAGTATCCAAACATTTAAAAGTAAACGTAAAAACACGTTACTATAAAGTGTTCCAGTGCCGTAAATGACATATCACTATCCATAGGGGGCGATAGAGTTTCTAAAATTTAATGCTCCAATTTCAGAGTCTGTCTCGTGTGGTCAGTGTTATGAATAATTCAGTCTAATTCCAGGTGCCGCGGGCTGATTATAATTAAATATACTTTTAAAGTGGTGAAGATAATCCCACAATCACGTTAGACAATTACACAGGGCCACATCGTGTAACTGTGAGGTGCTTTTCGCTGCATCCCACTCCGCTGTGTTATATAATGCGTGTATGTTTGCTGTGTTTCTTTGGCATACGTGACTGGAGTCCACTGCGCCGAGTCAGAGCGTGAATCCACCGCTTAAGTGTGCGCCGCTGTGGCACCGGTACTCAACTAATCACCGCTGTAGAGGCTCTGACTGAGGAGAGAGGGTCCAGGGAGGGGTGAGATCTACCCTCCTCCTCATCCATCGCTCCACTCTTCCTCCGTACCTGAGTTCAGGACCTCGGAGAGCGCCTTTTCTTCCTCTGTGAGACGCGCGCGCAACAGCAACTTCCCGCAGACCGCGCGCTCCAGCCCGAGCACATGCGACGCGGCCATTTAGGAGATTTAGCGCCTCTTCTGCTGCTTTCCTCCTTTCCCTGGATGTGACAAAGACTTGACATTACATTGGAGCGTAAACACTGCCGCAGACACCATGATCTCACGCTACAAACCGGTAAGTTGTGCTAAACTTCGGTCACTCCTCGGTCCTCGTGGCTCTCTCTTCGTGACATTTCCAAGATCAATATTTGCTTTGTAGCGTATGTGCCAGACGTAGGCGCGTTTTGCAAATATGTCAAGTTATTTTAGGTCATTTCTAGACAGTAATAGGGTCATCCATCACGGGACTCATTTTGCTTTTATGATTTATCGACTGTAAACGTTCATAATGTGAGAAGGCGTGACAACTTACATTAATATTAGTCTTTAAAACGCAATCACACTCCCCTCTTTTGTCCCAGTGCATGTATGTAGTATGAATTATTAGACTATACGTGATAATAAATTAAAGTTATATTCAATCTACTTGCTGGAAAGGGATTATCTCATCACTTTGTTTTCTCATCACATTGTATGTATATAAAAAAACCTTTAAATTGACGTGTATGTGTGGGATAATAGACTATATTTATGTAATGCTCCCACCACTGACAGTCAGTCAAGTGGCTGCTGGTGCTGTAATGATTTTTAGTGTTGTTGTAGCCTAGTTAGTCTGGCTGGACTGTAAACTCACTCACAAGGTTATCTACAGGGCCAGCTGCTCTGCTCTATCCTCTTGAATCGTGTGTCTTGTTTCCTTTCTTATAATAATAATTAGTTCCAGGCCTCATGTACTCTGTGCTGAAGTGATAAATGAATTATATCTTACATTTAAAAGGCCCATGTTACTGTATTTTCTGATTTATGTTGTTAAAATGTTGTTTCCTCCTTGCGAACAGACCTGGAGTTTTGTTTTGTTTTATTCACGCATGTTTAACTCACAAATCTTGCACATTGAGGCTGAGTTCTTCTCTCAGACTGAAAACACTAATCCATGTGATGTAATGTGGTAATACAGGAAGTGCTGCACTGTGTTTTAAAATTATTTGGATGATTTCAGCTCGAGAATTGCCAATCTGTACTGAACTAAAAGGAGGTAAAAGGAGCTCTTAACATGAAAATTAAATAATTATAATGCATCAGTTTTATATAGCGCTTTTTTGGACACTCAGAGTCACTTTAAAGATTATTATTCATTCACTCCAGACCCGGTGGTGGTAAACTACTATTGTGGCCACAGCCCCTCCGACACACACACACCACTTTCACACTAGGCAATGTGGGTGAAGTGTCTTGCCTAAGGACACAACAACAGATTTTATGACTGGCGCCCCCCTGTGGCACCTGATTTTCCCAGTGGTCTGCCATCCAAGTACTAACCAGGCCCGGACCTGTTGAGCTTTTGAGATCTGACGGGATCAGGATTTGACAAGCCGGTATGGCCACAAACGTCCGCTTAATCACATCAAAAGGTGGAACAAAGATTTGGACAGACTAATAATAATGGATTATTCAGACTAGGGGTGTGCAAAAATATGGAAATATCAATATATCGTATAGTTTAATTTGATGATACGGTATTGATATCCTGGGCTGCTGTATTGATATGTGGCCAAGAGTATATATATATATATATATATATATTATTTTTTTTTTTATTTACTAAATGATTTTGTGAAAGAGCTACAATTGTGTTGCTTGTTTGGAAAAAGTTCACTTGTTTACGTGATACACTTGACATTTTCACTGTTTTGAGTAAAATGGGTGTTTTTCATTAGTCTGATTCATCAGCCAGTTTCACTTCGTGGAAACCGCCTGACCTCGCAATGTCAGGATTCGTTCGCTCGACAGTAGGCGGGTACTCTTTTTCATTTAACCAATCGTTGCTATTTGGTCGTGATGTATGTAATGAGCCACTAACAAAGCTAACTGGTATATTAAGCTTTTCCCAAATCCCGTAGGAAGAAGGACAATAACATCTTTCCCCTTGATAAAATTCACCAAACATTCTCTTTGTTCCAGCTTTAAATCTTCGATCTCGGGAATCGTTGACAACACAGAATGTATGGCTCTTCGCTGATTGGCTGGTGCCCGAACTCACACTTCTGAGGTTTTTGCGAACCGTCTAGTGTATTCTGCTCCCTGATCTAGTTGCTGGAGAGAAATGAAATTGAGCAGAGGCACTAGGTGACGCCAGCCTGGCTAGTTTTTTGTATTCACTTAATGGTTTAATAAAGACTTTTAGTATCACAGCCTTTGTTTTTTACTGAACTGTATTGAATCGTTTTGAATCGAAAGTGCACTGTATCGAAAACTGTATCGTATTGGGGCTTATATATCGAGGTAAGTATCGTATTGGCAACTTCATAATGATACCCAGCCCTAATTCAGACGTGTGAGTGAAAAAAACACAACCGCGGGCGTGTTTACGAGGAGATAACAACATTATAACATGGCTTAAAGCTCTCAAGAGTCAATTTTGCGTAATAAAGGACCTTTAAAAGAGAGGAACAGTCAGAAAAGACTGAAGATAACATGGATATGTTGCAAATGAAAATGTGCATCGTACATGTAGACTGCTCCTTTGTGTAACTATTGTCTTTTGTCTCATCTCATCAGCTGAATTTTTCCCTGTTTTCCGAGCGAGGAGGGACAGCTGTTGTGTGAACGTTTAATTTTGGCTGTTACATTAAAAGCTGTGTGACACTTGCAGTTATTAACAATACACACAAATGATTCCCTCTGTTAAATAAAAACAAGGGAGAAAATGGCAGCAAATTCTGAGCACCTTTGCAATGTATTGACCGAGCACTGACTAAAGAAATGTTTAAAGAGATATTTAAGTGTAGGCTTGTTTTTGGTGAGTAAATTTGTGCCCTCTGCATTCATTCATTGACTGAAGGGGATGAGATTTGGTGCTGAAAACACTCAGTGCATTGGTCAGTGGTGCAGTGGGGATTTTTTAAGTGGGGGTATGTGATTCGTGACGTCATTGATGTGATGAATTCCTGGTTCAGTCCTGGTTTAGTCTTGTTTTAGTCCTGGATCAGTCCTGGTTTAGTCTTGGTTCATTCCTGTTTTAGTCCTGGTTCAGTCCTGTTTTAGTCTTGGTTCAGTCCTGGTTTAGTCTTGTTTTAGTATTGGTTCAGTCCTGGTTTAGTCCTGGTTCAGTCCTGTTTTAGTCCTGGTTCAGTCCTGTTTTAGTCTTGGTTCAGTCCTGGTTTAGTCTTGTTATTTAGTATTGGTTCAGTCCTGGTTTAGTGCTGGTTCATTCCTGTTTTAGTCCTGGTTCAGTCCTGTTTTAGTCTTGGTTCAGTCCTGGTTTAGTCTTGTTATTTAGTATTGGTTCAGTCCTGGTTTAGTCCTGGTTCATTCCTGTTTTAGTCCTGGTTCAGTCCTGTTTTTGTCTTGGTTCAGTCCTGGTTTAGTCTTGTTATTTAGTATTGGTTCAGTCCTGGTTTAGTGTTGGTTCATTCCTGTTTTAGTCCTGGTTCAGCCCTCATGTCTCAGGTCACTATAGGGCAGTACTGCAGATATCATGAGCCTGTGCAGGTTGTTTTCACCATTGCTGCGGTTTTACATTTAAGTTGTAGCTATTTTATGTTTGTTATTTTTTAATTTCACGTTGGGAGAAGTAGGTGGACGCCGTTCTGCCATATGGAGAAGAACCAGTAAACAACATATTCAGTGAAAATGTTGAATGAACTCACAGTGACTCTCCTTTCTGATGTGATCTACTGAAATCCCTGTAATCCCAATAAAAAAATAATTAGTTGGCTAATAAAATATTTGTAGATAGAGACATGCACGTGCATCCAAAAAAAACAAAAAAACTGCGACGGTGTGCTGGGTGCAAGACAAAAATAGTAATAATAATAATAAAAAGTAATAATAATAGTTGGCCCGAAACATCACATTGTGGTTCAGTCCTGTTTTAGTCCTGTTTTAGTGCTCCTGGTTCAGTCCTGGTTTAGTCCTCTTGGTTCAGTCCTGGTTCAGTCTTGTTTTAGTCCTGTTTTTGTCCTGGTTCAGTCCCGGTTTAGTCATGGTTTAGTCCTGTTTTAGTCCTGGTTCAGTCCTGGTTCAGACCTGTTTTAGTCTTGGTTCAGTCCTGGTTTAGTCCTCCTGTTTTAGTCCTGTTTTAGTCCTGGTTCTGGTGGTGCAGGGTTTGTCTGTGTTTGAATGAAACAAAACTCAACTCCAGGTCTGTTTGTGATGAAGAAACAACATTATAACACAGATCAAAAAATACAGGCCATTTCAAAACTATTAATGTATCGAGAATTTCCATGCACCCGTTCACAATCCACCTCTACGTAATCTGGGTTAGAATATTTTAGATTTATTTTATATGACTCTGCAGAATCATTTGAAGCCCCAAGGAAATCCAATAACCAGCTCCTGAGTTTTTACATGAAGGCTCAGGACTGCTCCCGTGGGCCTGTCTGGTTCCTATTAACAGGTCTGCTGCTGCTGCTGGCGGAGGTGGGAACAGTCCATGAGCTCTCAGACCCACACCATCTAAGTAGTGCATTAATAATGTATGTAAAATGTGCCATTTTGTATTTTGTTTAAAGGTTCTGTATTACGCAAAAATGATTCTTATGAGCTTTAGGCCATGTTACATCATCAAAAACTTTTACCCAGGTCGGCGCCTCCGCTCAATTCCATTTCTCTCCAGTGACTAGGTCAGGAATCAGAATACACTAGACGGTTTCAAGAACCCCGGAAGTTGTAGCCCGCGCACCGGCCAATCAGTGAAGAGCTGTGAAGCCATGACGTCAAACTGAAGCGCCTGTCTGGGCCCTTTTGTGTAACAGCACAACAGTAAATAGCAGCAATTGGTTAAATTTAAAAAAGTACCCGCCTACCATCAAGTGAATGAATCCTAATGCTGCGAGGTCAGACAGTTTTCGTGAAGTGAAAGTGGCTGATGAATCAGGCTACAAAAACATACGTGGACTGTCAAAATTCACACGTTTGAGTAACCCTTTATGATTAGTTTTTCTACATCTCCAAAGATGAAAACATGCTCTGTTCAACATGGTGATTAACATAGTTAACATAGGGTGACCAGATTTTCAAAATCAAAAACTGGGACACTCCCAGTTTGGAGTTGTTGTTAATAATAAAACTGTGAAACGAGTATTTAATTAAAGAAAATTGTTCTGTGCTTGGCCCATTCATGATTAACATGTGAGTCAGTATAGTCACATTTTCTTTGTGTTTTGGTCATTTTAAGCAGCTTTTCTGTATTTTACCTAAACAAATTATGCCTCTTTTTAATGTTGGCAGGGATCAGATTTGTCAAAAATAGGGACTCCTGGGACATTTCTTGTATAAAACTGGGACAAATCACTGTTTTGATTAAATCCGCTGGGACAGGAGACACAGGGCTCAAAACCCGGACTCTCCCAGATAAATAGGGACATCTGGTCACCCTAACTTAACAGCTACATTTTATCTTTTGTTCAGTAGAGATTGGAAATTCTAGGGCTGAAACTATCCAAATTATTCTAGTGAAGGTGTACAGAGTTTAAAAACACAGTGGAGCACTTCTGTATTACTCGTGACATCACAAAGTGGAACAGAGTGTTTTCTGTTTGAGAGAACTACTCATCTTAAATATGTTTGTGTTGTTAATTAAACTGACAATTAAATATTCTACAGAGTCAAAAAGATCATGAGTGTGATTGAAGCTTCTCACCTTTTGTGCTGTTGCACCTTTGTGAACCAAATTGAGCTTCTTTCTGACACAAGAGCTGCTCTCTCACTCTTCCATCATGTCTTTTCATGATGACGCACACATGACTGTCACTCTCTCCAACACCTCCTCTCATTCCTCTCTCCTCTCCTCAGCCCTCTCTCTCCTCTCCACCTTCTCTGCCTCCTCATCCCTATCCTGTTTCTCTTCTTTCTCTTCATCCCTCTCTCCTCTCCTCAGCCCTCTCTCTCCTCTCCACCTTCCTGCCTCCTCATCCACCTTCTCGCCTCTCTCTCTCTCTCCTCTCTCATCCTCTCTCTGCCTCCTCTCATCCCTCTCTCTCCTCAGCCCTCTCTCTCCTCTCCACCTTCTCTGCCTCCTCATCCCTATCCTGTTTCTCTTCTTTCTCTTCATCCCTCTCTCCTCTCCTCAGCCCTCTCTCTCCTCTCCACCTTCTCTGCCTCCTCATCCCTATCCTGTTTCTCTTCTTTCTCTTCATCCCTCTCTCCTCTCCTCAGCCCTCTCTCTCCTCTCCACCTTCTCTCTCCTCATCCTTCTCTCTCTCCTCTCTCCTCATCCCTCTGTTTCTCTTCTTTCTCCTCATCCCTCTCTCCTCTCTTCATCCCTCTCTGCCTCCTCATCCCTCTCTCTCCTCTCTTCTCATCCCTCTGCCTCTCTTCTTTCTCCTCATCCCGCTTTCTCCTCTTTCTTCATCCCTCTCTCCTCTCTAAACCTACTCTCTCTCACTCTTCATTCCTGTCTTTCCTCTCTCCTCATCTCTCTCTTCTTCTCTTTCCTCTCTCTTCAACTCTCTCTCCCCTCTCCTCATCCCTGTCTCCTCTCTCCTCATGCCTCTTTCTCCTCCTCCCTCTTTCTCTCTTTCCTCATCCCTCTCTCTTCTCTCTCTTCATTCCTCTCTCTCTCCTCTCTTCACCTCCTCTCTCTCTTCCCTTGCTGTCTCTTCTCTCTCATCCTTCTCTCTCTCCCCTCCACCTCCTTTCATCTCATCTCTCTCTCTTCCTCCCTCTCTTTCCTCTCTCCTCATCCATCTCTCTCTCCTCTTTCCTCATCCATCTCTTTCTCCTTTTTCCTCATCCATCTCTTTCTCCTCTTTCCTCATCCATCTCTTTCTCCTCTTTCCTTATTCCACACTTTCCTCTCTCCTCATCCCTTTCTCCTCTCTCCTCTTTCCTCTCTCCTCATCCTTCTCTCTCTTACCTTTCTTTTCTCTCCTCATCCCTCTCTCTTCTCTCTCCTCATCCCTGTCTCCTCTCTCCTCATCCCTCTCTCTCCTCTCCCAGCCCTGTCCTCTCGTCACATCTTCTCTCTTCTCATCCTTCTCTCTCCCTCCTCATCCTTCTCTCTCCTCTCTCTTCATCCCTCTCTCCTCATCCCTCTCTCTCCTGTCTCTCCTCCTCCCTCTTTCTCCTCCTCCCTCTGTCTCCTCTTTCCTCATTCCTTTCTTTCCTCTCTCCCCTCATCCCTCTCCCTCCTCTCCCAGCCCTGTCCTCTCTTCACCTCTTCTCTCTCCCTTCTCATCCTTCTCTCTCTATCCTCTCTCCACCTACTCTCGCTCTCTCTTCATTCCTTTCTCTCCTCATCTCTTTCTTTCTCCTCTCTTTCCTCTCTCTTCATCCCTCTTTCTCCTCTCTCCTCATCCCTCTCTTTCTCCTCTTTCCTCCCTCTCTCTATCGAGTCTATTCCTTAGTATCAAGGTTGAAATATTACTATTGATCCTATTGTGAACCAAATCGAGCTTTCTCTCTTTCTCACACTCTGAACACTCTCTCACTCTTCCCTTGTACCTTTTCATGACACGTACACGACTGCCACTCTCTCCTCCACCTCCTCTCTCTCCTCTCGCCTCATCCCTCTCTCTCTCTCTCTCCTCTCTCCCATCATCCACAGTCCACCCCTCCTACTTTTATCGCCTTCTCTCTCTCCGGCTCCGCATTCTGCTCCTGTCTCCCAAGGTCGACTTTGTTTGAGCCGTGCAACAGACACACTGGAGTAGAAATTCGCCGAGACAGAGTGCGCTTGCTGTCGATGTGATGTACATTCCAGAGAAGTGAAGCTGCGTTGCTGAAGGATGCCTGGAGAACACGGACTACCGGGATGCAGATGTTGGACGGGAGCGCTGCTTAAAGTGCCGAGCGAAAGGCAAAGCTGCTCCACCAGACTGTGACCCTGCATCTACCCTTTCCGCTCTTTCTCTACATGTGTTTTTGGGCGTTCAGCAAGGACGGGACTTAACCGGATCAAGTCGAGGAGCTAGTTTTTGTTCAGCATGCTTTGAGTGTTCACCTGTCTTACTCTCTCTTCTTCCTTTCTCTTCTTCCTCCTCGGGTCCCTGCAGAGTCCCTCGTCAACCATGTCCTTGGCATTCTGTGGGAATGAGAATAACTCGTCCGCTTACAACGTGGACAGAGGAGTGCTGAACAACGGATGCTTTCTGGATGCGCTAAACGTGGTGCCCCATGTCTTTCTGCTCTTCACCTTCCCCATCCTCTTCATCGGTGAGTGTCATTCACAGGGGGGGAGAGGGGGGGTTGGGGTATTGACTCGAGGGCACTCACTCACTGACTCTTCACAACACAAATCAATGACTCAGCACAATGCAGAATACATAATGTATTCATCACCAGCTGGCATAAGTCGTATTACAACTATAGAGGGTAAATGCAGCTGAGAATTCACATGAAAGTAGCAAGTTAGGGCTGCTCGATTATGGAAAAAATCATTATCATGATTATTTTGGTCAATATTGAAATCATGATTATTCAAAGGATTATTTCTTTAGTTACCCGATGCATTTATTCAGCATTTCTCTCTCAAAAAAAACACTTAAATTATTAATTTATTATTATTATATTATATTATTATTGATGATTTATGAAAAACTTTCAAACTGAAAATAAACATAGGCTACAAATATGTACCTTAGAGCAGTTTTGCGATGTATAAAACATAAAATGAATCAAATATACTCTGAACAAATTCTCACAATAATATCATGGATAAAAATAATAATAATAATAATTATGCATCAGTATTATATAGTGCTTTTTTGGACACTCAGAAATGCTTTACAGAGCATTATTTACATTTATTTTGCCTGTTATTATTATAGAATAGAAATAGTTTCTTTTTGTGTTATATCTCTGTATTTACGTTTTGTTTTCTTCAATTTATGTTCTATGTATTACTGTCCGAATAAATATAAAAAAATAAATAAAATAAATAAAAATTAATTCACTCCATACCCAGCGGTGATAAGCTACTTACCGTAGCCACAGCTGCCCTGGGGCAGACTGACGGAAGCAATGCTGCCAATCTGCGCCACTGGCCCCTCCAACCACCACCATCACTCACACACAATCCACGTTCATACTAGTCAATGAGGTTGAAGTGCCTTGCCTAAGGACACAACAACAGTTTGTAACGACTGGCACCCCACTGTGGCACCTGATTTTCCCAGTGATCTCCATCCAAGTACTAACCAGGCCCAGTCCTGCTTAGCTGGGCCGGGCAGGATCATCACAATATATCGAATTATAAGTCTCTTTGATCCTTTGCTTCATTTCAGTGTAGAATACAAGAAGAAATAACAGTTCTAAGCACTTTTAAGTCTTAGTTCTTTGGATTAAGTCTTGTTGAAACATTTTAAGAGGAAAAAGTAACATATTCACAGTTCTGTTCGCCTCCATAAAATATCGCAATAAATATACCTTGAGATGTGTATCGTGAAAATATTGTATAAATATCATAAGAGATTTGGATATTATTACATACCTAATCGTCAGCCTCCCCACTATACTGTGAGCTTTCCCATGATATCACAATAAATATCGTACCGTGAGGGTCATACCGTGATGATATCGTATCGTGAGACTTGGATATCGTTACACCTCTAGAAATAAGGCATAGAAAAACGTAAATATATCCAAAACAAACTATATATCCAGCTGTTCTACAGTCTCTGTTGTTAAAAAATAAAATGAATATGCTAAACTAAATATTATTAAAAAATATCCCAAAATAAACTTAAGCTTTAATCGTTTCAACTTGTTTATATGAGTTTGGAGATTGAGATGACACACAAATCGAAATTGCAATCAAAATTCAATTAATTGCACAGCCTTAGGAGCAAGGATGCACTGACCCAGGTTTTTCTGTTGTCGATAATTTGGCTTTTATCTGCTGGTACCCAATATCAACCAATACTAGTGCAGAGACTGAAAATATCATTTATTTCCTTTAAACACAAACAGCAAAAAGGTAAAAAAACAAACAAAAAAAACTTAAAGCCGCGCGCAGCGATGGTGGCCCTCGCCCCGGTGCGCAGTCCCCTCCCATACGACTGCCAGGGTCTCACGACCGCCCCGGCACGCCACTCTCTCTTCCCGACAGCCGCCCAGACTGACAGTTCGTCCATCAGAAAAAAATTACATAGTGTACCTTTGTTTCTTTGTTCCTTGCTGTCAGATTTTTTCCTGAGAATTTTACACTCTGAATTCTGACAGTTGAATTTGAGAACTTGTGTGCAGAATATTTTTAAGGTAAAAAATTTCATTGAGAACTTGAAACACTGAAAGAGTATACTTAAAATTTCAGCCAGTAAAATTTTCAATAAAAATAATTCAACCATCTAATTAAGTTTTGTTTAGAGTGAAAAAAAAATTTCAAGTTAGAAAAAAAAGTTAGAAAAAAAAAATAATTCTAAATGTAATGGAAGAAATTATCTTGTTTTATTTTTATTTTATTTTTTATTATTATTACAAAAATGTATTGTAAATGGCAATTTAAAATGATGGGCCATTAAGATGGTGTTAGCGTTTTGCTAACTGCACCTACTGGAATAGCTGCATCTGAACACAAGTCACCCTGAACAGTCTCCTCAGCTCACCTCAGGCTGCAGGGCGATGAACTGCCTCATAGTGACACTTCAGGGTTCAACATAAACAACAGGGATGCACCGATGTAATACTGGGATCAGATATTGTCACAGATACTGAACAGGGAAGTAACAATAACCAAAATATCATGATGTCGTATCGTCAAAAGTCTCACAATAATATCCTGGGCCATCGCAATATATTGAATCAAGAGTGTTTTTTTGCTTAAATTCATTGTTTTGGTAGCATATTCACAATTTAGCCTCCAGAAAATATTGCAATAAATATCATATCGTGAGCTGTATATCATGAAAATATTGTACTGAGAGATTTGGATACCATTACATCCCTAATACTGAAAGGTTTGCTGAATCAGATATCGGTGTCCAAATACAGGGATATAACAATAACCAAAATATCATATCATCAAAAGTCACTCACAATAATATTGTGGACTGTCACAATATATCAAATCTTTTTGCTTAAATTCATTGTACTGGTGCAGGAATAGCTAAAAAAAAACACAAAGGGAACTACATAGATGATGATCTTTTGCAGTTTCACTGCAGATGACATGAAGAACTATTATTAAGCACTTTTAAATCTTATTTCTTTGGATTATGACAGAACCAAAGACTTGTCAAGGCATTTTAAAAGGAAAAAGTAGCATATTAACAATTCTGTTCTGAGCCTCCACAAAATATTGCAATAAATATCGTATAATAGTATCGTAGTATCGTTACATCCTGATCCAAATATCGGTTCAGTCCATATTGGTTGGGGATATAAATCGATGTATTAAGACTATTTACTGGTCTTAGTCAGCCCAGAAAGTCTCATAATGTCTGAATTTTTATTTATACATAGATGTTCTGTAGTTACTTGAGAGATAAATAACAGATTTGTAACACATGTGGTTCAGTTTATTCTTATTAAATTTTTATTTAAAGAATATAAATGCTGTTTTCAGTCTCTGCCTTGGTCATAATCGGTATTGGAACCCAAAAATTTTAATTGGGACATCCCTAATAAACAAAACTTATATTCTCACTGTTATGCGTTAGGTTCTGCAATGTATCAAACAAGAATCATTACAATTATGGCTCCAATTAATTACATAAAATGGTGTCAATTAAAAAAAGGCTGTTCTGAATGATACATATGACTATTTTTTGTATCATGAAGTTTTGGGAATTGAAAATGAGCTAAAATGTCTCTTTAAATGTATTCACTGAGGTTTAAATATCAGATATGAATGAACAAATGAATAAATAATTAATATATGGGTGGTTTATTGCATGGTTTCCTAGAATGAGCTTAAAATAAAATCACAGGACACTAGGGGCATCCCAGCTATGCCATCTCCGTGTCACTTTAAGTTTGTGTTTCCTCCAACAACTGTGGCTCCAAGGACAGGTCTGAAGAGAGGGACCGCTTTGGTATTCAGCTCAGGTCTGCTTGTATTTCATACTATTTACTGTGGTGTGTAGCTGTATCAGAAGGCCTTGAAATGCACTGATTGGTGAGTCCTGCTTGTTAGAATAAGGTTTGCTGTAGTTTAATGGCACATTTGTATTGGTACATTTTGTCATGTAATCCATCCTTCACAAAGATGTTTTGACTTGTATTATTTGCCCTTTAGGTTTGAATAATTTGTTGTTGTCCAAAATGCATATTTTTATCTGAAAGGTCAGTCCATCAGTCTCTCATTGCCCTTTATCAATAGCCAGTGGGACTTGTAATGTAGATGTAAGACTAGTTTATCAAGTCAGTGTAAATAAACCTATTATATGTAACTTTCCTGTTTAGGGGTACGTCACCTGTTTGTTTTAATACATGCATCACGGAATTTGGACTTCTGGTCATTGCCCAATGCATACTGGGAAGGATTTTCCAAAAAAGTGAGCATCAAACTGCCATGTTTGATTTCCCAGTGGGATTGACAAAGCCGATCTTTTCTAGTCTTTTGAACCATATTGCTTTTGTTTCTGGTTTTGATATTGTCATATTTTAGTTATGGAATTTGGACATCGTATTTGTGTGGTTGTTGGATGTCCTAACACTGGAAAACGACTCGAGAAATGAGCTTCGGATGCTTGCGAACTCCATAAATGCAAAAGGGAATCAGATCTGTGTGAATCTATGTGAAACCTCCGTTCAAACTATTTCCTTTCCCAATTCCCTTTTGCATTTATGGAGTTTGCAAACTTCCAAAGCATGAGCCATTTTTCGCCACCATTTTCAACCACACAATTGTGATGTCTGAATCCCATAACTTCAATATGAAAATATTAGAACCAGAAACAAAAGCGATATGGTTCAAAAGACTTGAAAAGATCAGCTTTGACAATAGACGTATCCCACTGGGAAAACAAACATGGTGGTTTGATTCTCATTTTTTGGACCGGAAGTCCAAAATTCGTGATGCATGTATTGTTTTTTTTCCTGGAATCTATTGTTTGTTCAAATATTCCTTGAAAAACATGTATTCCAGTGGCGAAGTTCGCAATTTGAGGGCCCTAGGTGATCTTGAGTTTGGGGCCCTCATTATAATGCACAGGGTTTTTTTTTGTTTTATTTTGTTGTTGTTATTTTTTATATATATATATATATATATATATATATATATATATATATATATATATATATATATATATATCGTTAGCCTAATAGCATAGTTGCCTAAGTCATATTTGAAAGTTTTCGGAAAACAAGAAAAAACACATTTTTTAGCAAGCACATTGGTATTTTTATTGATATTGTGTAGAGATGACTAAGGCAGACAGTGATTTTAGACTCTAACAAGTGTTCTTATAGGATGAGAACATAGGCAAAAAGCAGTGGAAGGAGAGTAAAGTTAGGCAGATGTCTCAGTTTGGCCAAAAAAAATGACTTGGGCAATTATGCTGTTAGGTTAATGATATTTATTGTCTGTTTTTCCCCATTCTATTTATTTGAATTAAGGTGGATTGGAAACTTAACTTATTAGTTTGGTCGCCAACTAGAACCAGAGGAGAAAGTATTTTTATTTTTTTGCTGGTACAATTACATTTTTGTTTACATCCATTACATATGATTATTATTATTATTTTTCTTATGATTATTGGTTAAAAGTAAACCACTCTCACTGAAGGCAAATTGGTTGGGGCCCCCTTCAGGTTTGGGGGCCCTAAGCAGCCGCCTACTTTTGCCTAATGGTCGCGCCGCCTCTGATTGCACCTTTTAAGCAGAAGTATTACAGACTTTTGAGAGAGTTATAGCAGAGAGTTATAGCCATTTCCTTTTCTCATTTACCATCTTGAAATTGCATTTGGAGTCATTTGTGCATGTTTGAGCAATTTTAATGACTTATTTGCAAGACACCATATTACCAATCAACCCCTTCTCTGTGCTTTTTAAAATTTTCTGAATCGTGTTATAGGATTTGGCAGTATTGTGTAGTCATTTAGATACAAATTTAATAAAATCTGTTTCTCACTATCATAAACTGCGGTTATTAAGGGTGTAACAGTATCCAAGTCTCACGATACGATATCATCACGGCATGAACCTCACAGTACGATATTTATTGCGATATCGTGGGAAAGCTCACGATATGGTGGGGAGCGTTTCACCATGTCATAGCTATTTCCTCTTCTTATTTACCATCTTGAAATTGCATTTGGAGTCATTTGTGCATGTTTGAGTAATATTTAATGACTTATTTGCAAGACACCATATTGCCAATTAACCTCTTCTCTGTACAGCTTTTATTTTCTTCATCGTGATATAGGATTCGGCAGTATCGCGTAGTCATTTTGGTACAAATTTAATAAAATCTGTTCCTCGCTATTATGATCTTCGGTGCTCTCTTGGAAGTGCCGTCCGTTTGTTGCAATGACATTTATGCTCCTGTGTCTTTTATTAAGCCGTTTTAGATGAATATTACGATTTAAAATGTGCAAATTATAACAGAAGGATGCATAAATTGTCATAGATTATAACTATATAACAGACACAAGCACAGTCTGTCTGCTTTAATCCGTGTATCATTTGTTCATTCATTTTTCAAACTAAAACCAACAAATTTTCTTCATTATTTTTCTCCAACAATTCGATTTGTTTTTTTCAGTTTTCAATTTTGTGTTTAAATGAATAATGGAAAAAACTTTCCCGTTTACGTGACTTAAACTGCGATGCCGGACTGAACCAGGACTGAATCAGTTCCGGCACCAGACTGGGACTGAGACCAGGAACAGGACCAGTTACTGAGACAAGGAACAGGACCAGGACTGAGACCGGGGACCAGACCGGGGACTGAGACCGGGGACTGAGACCGGGGACTGAGACCGGGGACTGAGACCGGGGACTGAGACCGGGGACTGAGACCGGGGACTGAGACTGGGGACCAGACCGGGACTGAGACCGGAACTGAGACCGGGACTGAGACTGGTGACCAGACCAGGACTGAGACCTGGACTGAGATGGGGGACCAGACCAGGACTGAGACCAGGACTGAGACCGGGGACCAGACCAGGACCAGACCAGGACCAGACCGGGACTGAGACCAGGATCAGGACTGAGACCAAGACAAAACGGTTTAATCCTGTTTTAGTCCTGATTCAGTCCTAGTTCAGTCCGTATGCGGCGCAAAAGTCCAGCATCGCAGTCACGCACAAAATCGAAAACTGAAAAAAACAAATTGTTATCCGTTTTTTTCATTTTGGTTTTGGCGACACATAATGAAGAAAATAGTTGTTTTTTCATTTTCTTATTTTTGGTTTTATATTGAAAAACAAATTTATATTAAAAAATAGATTTGCTTTAACAACACTTTAAACACTGTCTAGCCATAATATTGAACAACAAACCCACTACACACACACACACTTTGTTCCTATTCTCTGTCACTCCATGCGTTTGTATTCTGCGTTCATATATTGTGTTTCCCTGTAATAGGCTGGGGCAGTCAGAGCTCCAAAGTCCACATCCATCACAGCACGTGGCTTCACTTTCCCGGTCACAACCTGCGCTGGCTGCTCACCTTCGTCCTCCTCTTCATCCTCGTGTGTGAGATCGCAGAGGGCATAGTGTCCGATGGGTGAGTCTAATTAAACATCTTAGTAATAATTCATGCTCCTTTTGGTTCAGTCATTAATCTAGTTGTATACGCAGAAATGGTTCCAGTTGTGTATATTGTCAGCTATTCTTTTTGGACATACTGTTAATCACCTGCTCGTTTCCATGGAGATGTTATTTCCTTGCTCAGAATGTTCCACAGTATCCATGAAGACAAAAATGATACACAAATTACAGGTCTGGTGTATGGAAAGGCAACCCCTTCACTGTAAGACTGCGTGTTTTTGAGCAATAACAGAACCTGTAATTCAATAAATAGATTAAAAGAGACACAGTGGAACATTCCAGGCAAAGCAATAACATCTCCATGGACAAAGCAGGTGATGGACTCCCACAAGACACATTTAAAGCAGACCTATTATGCAAAATTTACTTTTCAGAGTGTCTAACCATGTTATAGTTGTTTCTCCTCACGATTTACTCACCCGAAGTTGTATTCCGAGTGATTCATGCGAGTTTGGGCAATATTTAATTGTTTTTTTTTCAGTTTTGTCTGTCTTGTCCTTGTTTTAGTGTTACTTTATTGTGAAGCGCTATATGAAACAACGCCATATTGCAGATTAACCCCATGTTTTCACCACCCCCATAAACGCCTACTGCTCTGTACCTACTTCATTCTTCAATTTTATTTTCTTAATCTGTGATATGTGTAGGATTCAGATAACCAGGCTGGTGCCACCTAGTGCCTCTGCTTAATTTTATTTCTCTCCAGTGACAAGGTCAGGAATCAGAATACAATAAAAGCTTTGCAAGAACCCCGGAAGTTGTAGACCATGCACCAGCCAATCAGTGAAGAGCAGTGAAGCCATGACGTCAAACTCAAGCATCTGTCTGGGTCCCTTTTGTGGTACAGCACAACAGTAAACAAAGCAGTCGAGATGGATGTAGACGAAGCCGTACATTCTGTGTTGGCAACGATTCCCAAGATAGATGATTTAAAGCCAGAACAAAGAGAATGTTTAGTGAATTTTATCAAAAGGGAAAGCAGTTATTGTCCTTCTTTCTACGGGATTTGGAGCATTACATATGTCACGACCAAATAGCAGAGATTGGTTAAATAAATAAAAAATACTCGCCTACCGTCAAGAGAATGAATCTTAAAGCTGCAAGGTCAGACGGTTTCCACAAAGTGAAACCAGCTGATGAATCAGGCTTGGATTCAGCAGCATCTTGTAATCATTTTGGTACAAAATCCTACTCACTAGTGAAATGAGCTGTTATCCATCGGAGAGGCCAGTTCTTTGCTGTGATGACGTTTATGGTGACTTCAGCTCCCATTGGGCACCACAGAAGTCAGTGGATGTGCTTCTTTTTTTAAGTCGTTTTAGATGAAAATTGTGATTTAAACAACAGAATGATCCAGGGGTATCATAAATTATAACTATATAGCAGACCCAAGCACATTATGTCTGCTTTAATATGAGTTTCACCAAGGGCTTATAAATGTAAAATATTAAATCTATATTAATACTTCAATTGTAATTTGTTAACCACTTTGGGGAGCTGTTAAATCAACTCTTGTGTCTTGTGTTTTGCAGGTTCAGTCAGTCCTTGCACCTGCACCTGTACATGCCTGCAGCTCTGGCCTTCATGGCTGGGATCACATCCATCATCTATTATCACAACATCGAGACCTCCAACTTCCCCAAACTGCTCATAGGTAGTGTATTATTCTCAATTTATTATGCACAAACCTTTTTACCAAAATTGTGTCTTTTGGAGTAATATTAATCCTTACTCTGAGCTTGCATCTCCACAAATCTGACTTTTATTTGGACTGGAGTAGGGCCAGAGTAGAACCTGCTTGTTTCCATGGAAATATTGGTCCTTTGGTTGTAATATTGTAGCCAGGCTGATGCCACCTAGTGCCTCCAGTCAATTTAATTTCTCTCCAGCAACTACGTCAGGAATCAGAATACACTGGACAGTTCGCAAAAACCCCGAAAGTGCGAGTTTGGGCACCAGCCAATCAGCAAACAGTCATACATTCTGTGTTGGCAACGATTACCGAGATCGAGGATTTAAAGCCGGAACAAAGAGAATGTTTGGTGAATTTTATCAAGGGGAAAGACGTTATTGCCCTTCTTCCTACAGGATTTGGAAATACTTAATATACCAGTTAGCCCCGTTAGCGGCGCTTTACATACGTCACGACCAAATAGCAGCGATTGGTTAAATAAAAAAAAAGTACCCGCCTACCGTCAAGCGAACGAATCCTAATGCTGCAAGGTCAGACAGTTTCTACAAAGTGAAACCAGCTGATGAATCAGGCTAGTAATATTGCACAGCATAGCATGAAATTTGTCTATCTTAATTGAGAATGTTTCAAAATATCGGTTTTTAACCCTCAATTTCCATGGAATCATGCTGGTGATGTGCCACCACTAGAAAATTACATACTGTATCATTCTGGGTGAGTTTTCCTCTGGACACTCAACCCAAACATGCACCATAGGTTAAATCCTTCAGCTAAGGCAGTCCTGACTGAGCCTAGCAACAAGATTATGAAGATAGGTCCCATGTGCTGCCCACTGCTCCTGAAAGGATGGGTGAAATGGAGAGAAGAATTCCCCTACAGGGATAAAAAAAAAAAAAAAGTTCTTCAAAAAACAAACAAACAAACCAACCAACAGGAATTAACCTGGACTAGATCAGGTCTAAACAAGGACTACATTGGGACTAGACTGGCATCAAACCAAGATGAGAGTGAACCTAACTTAATGTTTCTGTTTAATAGTGTGATTTATGATGTAGAGGCTCAACGCACAGAATGACATCCATATTTGAATCTATACTTGTATATGAACAGAGTGAAGACTGAATGAATAATGAATAAGACCCATGCGCTATTATTTATTTATTGAAACTATTTGAATGCAGTCACAAATCAACATCTCAATTCACACTAGGGGCTTTGGTGACAGATGAAGCAAGATGAGCTGACATATTATTAAATATTATGTGAAATTGAGCTTTAATTAGAGCTTTTTTTTTCTTTTACACATGTTTGAGTAACCCTTTATTATCAGTCTGTCTATATCTCCACAGCTCAAAATGCTCTGTGCCGGCTACCTTTTACCTTTTGTTCAATAGTGACTGGCAATCCCACATCTTAAATCATCCAAATGAGTTTAGTGAAGGTGTACGGAGTTTAAAAACACGCCCTGCATCGACAGTTTTCAGTTTAAGAGAAGAACTCAGCCTAAATTTGCAGGATTTGTGTGTTAAACATGTTTGAATTCACACAAAACACAACTCCGGGTATGTTTGTGATGAATAAACAACATTATAACTCACTGTAAATCAAAAAATAGTGTAACACGGGCTCTTTAATGCAAGTACAATCAAAATGTGAACTTATGCCCGGTAGAATTGTGACATACTATAGATGTGTGTTCATGCATTTTTCCTTTTTATTACTCCTCTATCCCCCTGTTGCTTCCTCCATGTTTTATTAACTCATATGTGTGCAGCTCGCGTTTCAGTATTTACAACTCTGTGCACGTCGATAAATCTGAGTTTTATGTTTGATCTTCGAATCACTGGGAGACAGAAGCAGCAGTTTTACATTTCTATGGCTTGTGTTGTGTACCACTGGAGTGGACCCCAAAAACAGACTCAGAACGAGGGCAAAAATGCAAAAAAGAAACAAAGGTTTATTGACGAGGCAGGATAGGCAGTGGAGGAGCGAGGAGCCAGGAGCTGGAATGCCGGAGTCTTCCACAGCGGGAACTAGGAAATACAAAAATGCAGGTAAGTAACAGGAAGCGACGTAGAAACAAAAACTGAGCCGACTGGTAGATCACCATCAGGTAGACGAAACAATCTGGCAGAGTCTGGCTGGAGAGCTGGGCCTTTGTAGCAGGCTTGATTGCAGATGGAGAGCAGGTGCTCCCAGCAGACTCCGCCCACATCCACACAAGGAAGACTCAGGTCACAGGCAGGGGCGTGACAGTACCCCCCCTCCTAGGGGACGTCTCCGGACGTCCTACCAGGCTTGTCAGGGAAGGTCCTGTATAAATCCCGGAGCAGAGAGGCATCAAGGATGTAATGCCGAGGGACCCAAGATCGCTCCTTAGGACCATACCCTTCCCAGTCCACAAGGTACTGGTGACCCCTCCCACGACGCTGGACATCCAGGATATGGCGCACAGTGAAAGCAGGGTGATTGTCGATGATCCGGGTGGGAGGAGGGGGATCGGCCGGAGGCTGAGGGGACTAGAAACCACAGGTTTTAATAGGGACACGTGAAAAGAGGGATGAATGTTCATAGATCTTGGTAATTTGACTTTTTCGATGGTGAAAGGTCCAACAAACTTAGGAGCCAATTTACGAGACTCTACATGAAGAGGCAAATCTCGAGAGGAAAGCCAAACCTTTTGCCCTGGTTGGTAAGTGGGACATGGTACACGGTGGCGATTGGCACTCTCCTGGTTACGAAGACTTGTGCGTTTGAGTGCTGCATTGGCTGCCTTCCAAACACTACGGCAGCGTCGTAGATTAGCCTGGACAGAAGGGACTGCGACTTCCGTCTCCTGAGCAGGGAATACAGGTGGTTGAAAGCCCAGAGACACCATAAAAGGAGACATACCTGTGGCAGATGACACCAAGGAATTGTGGGCGTACTCGACCCAAGGCAAAAAAGAACTCCAAGTGGTGGGGTTACGAGCTGTGACACAGCGCAGTGCAGACTCCAAGTCCTGGTTAGCCCTCTCGGTTTGTCCATTAGATTGCGGGTGATAACCAGAGGAAAGGCTGACAGAAGTCCCTAGAGACAGACAAAAGGCCTTCCAAACCTGAGAGGAGAATTGTGGGCCTCTGTCTGACACAATGTCTGTGGGAATACCGTGAAGACGAAACACATGTTGCACCAAGAGTTTAGCCGTTTCAAAGGATGAAGGTAATTTGGGGAGAGGAACAAAATGCACGGCTTTAGAGAAACGATGCACGATGGTTAAGATAGTGGTGTTACCTTCTGACGTGGGGAGACCCGTAACAAAGTCCACTGCTATATGTGACCAAGGCCGGCTGGGGATGGGTAGAGGATGGAGAAGACCAGCAGGGGGCAGTTGACTGGATTTGCTGCGAGCGCACACAGGACAAGCAGAAACAAAGACTCTGGTGTCCCGAGACATGGAGGGCCACCAAAATCTTTGTCTAAGGAAAACTAAAGTGCGATAAAAACCAGGATGACAAGTTAGCTTGGAGGAGTGCCCCCACTGGAGGACTTGGGAGCGCACAGAGTCGGGTACAAAAAGACAATTGGGTGGACCAGTACCTGGGTCAGGTTGGGTTTGTTGGGCCTCCCGGACTAACTTCTCAATCTCCCAGCTAACGGCACCAAGAAGGAAACTTGAAGTCGAGGACTTGATCAAAGAGTCTGGTTTGTCAATGATGCAAGATGGAGGTAGGATAGGAGTGGGTTGGGTTTCAGTCTCCTCAGAAGTGGACTGACGGGACAGGGCATCTGGCTTAGTATTCCGGGATCCAGGACGGTAAGTTAAAACAAAATTAAATCTTCCCAGGAACAGCGCCCATCGAGCCTGACGGGAGTTCAACCTTTTAGCAGAACGAAGGTAAGAAAGATTTTTGTGGTCAGTCCACACAATAAAGGGGTGCTCAGCTCCTTCCAGCCAGTGGCGCCAGTCCTGGAGGGCCAAAACAACTGCCAGAAGTTCACGGTTGCCAACGTCATAGTTGGCTTCCGCTGGTGTTAATTGCCGGGAGTAGTAGGCACAGGGGTGAATTTTCTGATCCTTTGGGCAACGCTGGGACAGGACAGCACCCACTCCTGAGTCAGAGGCGTCAACTTCAACAATAAATTGTATTGATGGATCTGGATGAGACAAAACAGGAGCAGTTATGAAAAGTTGTTTGAGTGTGGAAAAAGCTACTTCTGCGTCATGAGACCACTTGAACGGGACAAGGGTGGAGGTCAGACAGGTAAGAGGAGCTGCTTTTCTACTGTAGTCTTTGATGAATCTTCTGTAGAAGTTGGCAAATCCCAGAAAACGCTGGAGTTGTTTGCGTGTCTCGGGTCTAGGCCACTCCGCAACAGCTTTCACTTTAGCCGGATCAGGCTTAAGTTGTCCCTGCTCAATGACAAAACCGAGAAAGTTAACAGTGGTGGCATGGAATTCACACTTTTCGGCTTTTACAAATAACTTGTTCTCTAAAAGTCTTTGCAGGACCAGCCTCACATGCTCCACATGTTCTTCAAGATCTCAAGAGAAAATCAAAATGTCATCCAGATAAACAAATACAAATTTATTGAGCATGTCACGGAGCACATCATTGACCAGGGCTTGGAATACGGCAGGGGCATTAGTAAGTCCGAACGGCATGACTAAGTACTCAAAATGTCCAATGGGAGTATTAAACGCAGTCTTACACTCATCTCCTTGGCGGATGCGGACCAGATGATAGGCATTGCGGAGGTCAAGTTTGGTAAAAATGTTTGCTTGATGGAGAGGCTCGAACGCAGAGTCAATGAGTGGTAGGGGATATTTATTTTTTATGGTAATGTCATTTAATCCACGATAATCAATGCAGGATCGTAAAGTTTTATCCTTCTTCTCCACAAAGAAAAATCCAGCCCCTACAGGGGACGAGGAGGGCCGAATTAAACCAGCTGCCAGAGAGTCTTTAATATACTGCTCC